CGGGGTGGGCCGGGGACTGCGCGTGAGCCAGATGTGGCCAGGCAGCTTTGGCGAAGGCTCCTTGATGTTTTGGGGCCCGAGGCTGGAAGAAGCCCTGCAGGAGGCAGGTTTAATGCTGGGGTACAGGCGAGGGATGCAGCAGAGGGTGCGCTCAGAGCCTCGCTTAGCCGTGGTCAGCGATTCCCTGCGATCGCGTCTTCTGGCAGGCATCGACCCGGTCAGGGCTGGTCCGGGGGGTCCGTGTGTGAGTCTCGTTCAGCAGAAGCAGGGCTGAAGTTTGGGTTCCTGGGGCTCCTGGAGAGGGTTTCCTTTGAATACCCTCTGCTTTGGGGAGATACCCCAAACCTGATCTCCTATGCCGTCAGCCTTTGAATTGGCACCAAAACTGGGAAGTGCCGTCCGTGCCAGAACGGCGAGGGCTGGAAATCTCTCCTTCTCTCTCGTTCAGGAACAGGAGGCACAACAACAGGCACATTAGTAGCCAGATTGATGCTGACGTGAAATGGCAGAAGAGCACATCTATGCGTAGCTGGAAACATCCATTCACACGTGCACGCTCTTAAAAGCTCCGGGCAACTGAGCGCTGCTGTCGCGGTCTTGGGGGCTCTGCACAGAAACTGGAGATTTTAACTAGGTCTGATCGTCAGGAGATGCCCCGAGGACTCCTGACGGAAGGAGGAGGCTGCCCAACGTTATGCTGTGATGGCTGAGATTTGGCAGGGCTGATCTATGCAAAGCCAACGAAAAGTAAAACGGGACTTTGAGGTTCAACGCCGCTACAAATTTACCTGCCTTGTTCTGGCGTGATTTGCCATGCAGTGGAGAGCTCCTCAGTGGGCAGGAGGGACTGGGGCTGTCTGCCCAGATTTCCCCCCGTTCCTCTCTCTCACACGCGCCCCGTGCATGCCCACACGCTAACCCAGTGACACGCAGAATCGCAGGGAGGGATTACCCAGAAGCAGGAGGCTGAGGGAGAGCCGTGACCGTGCCTTGCATGGAGCGAAGCATGTTGGCTACGAGCTTGGCAGGGCGGCAGCAGGGCAGTGAATCATCCAGCCGGCTCTGGTGCCTGTGAGCTGCGCCCGCGTGGGCACGGGTGGCTCCCAGCTCCGGCTGCCCGAAGCCCGGGCACAGCGTGGGGAGGGAGCGGCGAGCGTGGCCCTGGCGCCGCTGCCCA